TCACATATAATTCTAAAATTCTTTGTAAATTCTGTAGTCTATTGATATTGCAAATAACTGGATGCGAATTTATATTTTTACGAGTATAATTTTCAAGAGTATAAGTAGAAAATTGCTTTATTTAGATTCAGATGTCATAGTTTTTTCTCGCATTTTATTCTCAAATTTCCCATTGTCTCAGTTCGCCTCTTTACTGCATAAACCGCGAGTATCTTTAATTTCGCTGAATAATGCAGAGGAATTTATAACCGGATTAATTGATACGTCGACTGAGTTCCGAGCGTGAGAAAAACCTTGGCTCGTAGCGTGACAGAAACTCGTTAAATCCACGGATTGAGCGGAACGAAACAAACGGAAGAAACCGGAACACGGCGAAAAAAGTGACACGGAACGGGGTAAAGTCGTGCTGTTCGATGATTGGAACGATTACGGATGAGATCTCGCGGGAACGTTAATTTTTCGACATCAGATTTGTCGGGAAATTCTGTCGGGGAAAATTCCCTTCTAAAACTCTAAGTTTTATAAATTTCTGATAGTTAGAGACGTGTTCTTCAATTATTAGAGGAAAGAAAGGAAAAAGTTGACTTTCAAAACTTAGTTCAACGTTGCTGGAGAAATTGTGCGTTTCATAGCAGAATGTATCTTGAATCTAGCAAGCAAGAAAATTTATAATGCACAATCTCGTTTTCATAACCTTTCTTGAATAGAAAAGTTCGAAGTTTACTTAGATCTTCATGAAATATTGAACATTTTGAATCAGGCAGGTAGAGCGTAGGGATACTGAAAGAATATTTTAATAACAAAGCGAGAGAGAGAGAGAGAGAGAGAGAGAGAGAGATGAAAAATTCTAGAATAAATTAGAGATAAGAATAAAAGAGTTTATTGATTTCCTTCGCGCCAAATTAAAGTCAATTGTTTATTCAACTGAAGTAATAATATATTACCAGGGCTGATCTCGATATTTATTCTTTCTCGTCCAGAGGTAGCTACACAGTAGCTCGTGAGATTCAAATCAATTTCCTTATCTTTTCCAGTTTCTGTTGCACGCGTGTATGCATCTCGGTTTATCGTCAGCGGCTTTGATTAAATTTAATCATAAGCGCTAAACCGCGAAACTCACCGCCAAGAAAGAATCCCGCCACCATTCATCCCGCGTTCCAAAGTTCAACCTAAATTTCTTTAATTTATTCCATCCACGTTGCACACACATTCTCCGCCGAGCATAATAAAACTTCATTTGCGCTACCAGCACGCGTCTCGTTTACCTAGGAAAAATAGACGCCCGATGTATATATATGTATATATATCCAAATATATTTCGAGAGTGAAATACGCGCAGCGTAGCCATAGGAAAATTATTACCGAATCAGCCCCGAACGAACGAGCTGCTCTGATAAGTCCCGTGCCGGGCGAATGTCTGATACTTTCAGGCATTGTCAGGCATTTTCAGCGCCGTACGAGCACACAGACTTACGCGGAATGTACAAGCGCGGAGAAAACGATGGCCGTATAAACAACACGTCGCTGTTGTATATTCAGCTCGTGTTATTTCGAAAAGTTTGAAGACGATACGTCGTATAAATAGTCAATTTGTCGCGGGAAATTCCTCGTTTTATTCCAAAATAAAATGTTACGCTTCTCTCTCCCTCTCTCTCTCTCTCTCTCTCTCTCTCTCTTTCTCTCTGTTATTGCTGTCGTCGTCGTCTCGTGGTAATAAAAGGAATTAGCGCTCCAGGTGATGACGAGAGAAAGAGATTAATGGCGTAACTCGCGACCGATGAGCCTTATCAAGCAGTTTTTCATTGCATACTGCGACGGTGCGCGAACATCCGGGCTGGAGATTGGACGAGATTTTCAATTACGAGGGGCGATTGTTCGTGGGAATACGTATTCCTTGGGATCCGCGTTATTAGGCTAACTCAGTTTTTCAAGTCTTGGTCCTATGCTCTCTGTTGCAATCTGATGGTTCTACATTGATCCTTATTTAGTGTCTCTGCGTTCGAATATTTATTTCGTTTATCATTTTCTTTCTGTCAATCATTAATAGTTGTTCTTTTTCTTTTCTTTCTTTAAGTGAATTGTATAGTATTAATTGAATGGAATATATGTATACAGGATGATTCAGGTAACTTGCACACCGGAAATAACTTTTAAATTATGCGTATGATGAAAAATTGTTTGATACAAAAGTTGTATGGTTTTAAGAAAGGAAAAACATGGCTTATTAATTTTTTGTATGTATCGAAATTTCCAAATTCGTTTTTTCTTTTTTTTTTTAATTGGACCATATATTCGTTTTCATCATAAATTAATCATTAGGTTAATGTGGCTTAGTACCCTTTTACTTGAAATTTAACATTCTTTGGATTTGTGATGAAAAAAATACATGGTCCGATTAAAGAAAATCAAGATGACCGTGAAAATTTCGAAAGCCACAAAAAAATTGATATAACTTTGCCTCCCTTAAAACCATTGTACTAAAAATATTTCATTAGACGCATAATTTAAAAATTATTTCAGGTGTGCAATATTGTCATTTATGATCCAGCAATTAGAGTTTAAAGTAACGATGTACGAAGAATCGCTTTCGTTACTTGTTTAATTTTTCATTTTTTACTTTAGTTCGACGATTTCGCTCATATCTGAGAAATTATCGGAGAATAATATCGATATTTCTGCTTCCAGAGAATTACAAGGTCGAAACGATCCCAAAGGGCTACGAGATAAATATGAGGCTCACTATCAAGTCCGTGCAGCCCCAGGACTACGGATCGTACAGATGTGTGGCGAAAAATTCATTGGGAGAGATGGATGGAAAAATCAAACTGTACAGTAAGTAAATTGCATTTTGCCTCTGTCACTTGTTACGAATACTCAATTTCATTTTCGTCGATCGTTTGTGTAACGACGACAAAATTTTCTATTAAAATTTTCTATTGCGTTATAATTCGTGACACGATTGTATTGTAGAGCTTTCATTGTCGGCCGAAATATAAACTTCAATCATATTTGATACGTACTAGTAAAATTTGATTTCGTCAGCTACGACGAGTACGTGCTACGCTCATTTCCTTCATTAGTCGTTCGATGTAAAGTCTGATACGGAAGAGCGAAACGATGTCTTTTTGCGTTGCTGACGCTCCGTTATTTGGCAGGTCTATATTTCCCTGCGTTGCAATGCATACGTGCGTGTAATAGCGAAATTGCACGCTCGCGTGCATCGTATCATTACGAAATATAAACCTACCGAATCGTAACAACGAATCCGGTCTGTCGTTTGATCGCGAAATTTAAAAAGTGACATTTTTTTCGATTATTGAGGCTGATTGCGTCCCCAAAGGAATGTTGCCGAACGTTGGAACGGAAATCGATACTCCTGCTCTCCCAAAAGAGTATCTACAGACGATAATTGCCTCGTTTTCTAAAAATTCATTCCCCCCCTCGATTCTTCGTTCTTTTTCTAAAA